AACAACCTCACTTAAAGCAGCTAGGTGCTTGCATGGCCCCTATCCACCTGGAGCAATCTTCACTTATACAAAGCCATTTACGCTGTTAACTTCCCTAAGTTATTCTGGGCTCTGGCTTCCCAGGCCTATTCTCACAAATTCACAATGGTCTTTGGGTATGTGTCTCTCCTTTGGTCTTTTCTCAAGAAGCGCATCAAAAGGTCACCACTTAAAAAACATTGGTTTCTTTTGATACCTCCCTCTTTTTTCCTCACTGAAAGAATTTCTGACCGTACTCTAAGAAATCTGGACTTCTATGCCTCTTGGATTGCTTTCCCTTGGAGAGTCTCTGCCCCAACTATTCCTTCTCCCACTTCCGGCTTCATGACTGCCCACAAGGGCCTCCCTTTCCTCACGACCACTGCAGTGCTAATGTTCTATAAAACTGTACACTACTCCCAGCTGGATAGATCATTTAATCAGAAAAGGGACAGACTAGATGCAAGGTACTACATTGTTACAGCAACAACTATGGTTTGGTGACCTGAAGAGTCACCGAGAAGTTCTCCTAGGGAGTACATACATGCACAAGTACTTGTGTCTTAATTCCAATAGAATATCTGGTCTCATGTTTAAATATTTCAGGAGAAAAGCTGAAAACATACAAAGCAAAGGTTTCTCTCTAATTCCTCCTGCTTCCCAAAGTTGGGAGCTGCTCCTGTTAATGTCCACCTAGGGCTCCGCTCAGAACCAGCTGTGTGTGTATAAAGGACACAGAAAGACAAGGAAGGGCTCATTGGTGGAGGGATGAGGAGAATGACAACACACTAATCACATGCACAAGAATTTTCAAGGTTTATTCACAGAAAACAATTTCTATTTCTACTTCTAAAATATGTTTTGCCTAACTAGAGGCCCCATACTGTGTGTTCTTGAGCCACAGTTAAAACCCTATGCCTAAAAGTCTTCCTACACTGCCCAGGAAACTGGCCTACAGTGGGGCCAGTCCAACTACACATGTCATTTAAGGGTATATTGGAGATGGAGAAGGTACTATAGCCTGAGAGAAAGGGGGATTTTCATGTGGAAACATGTCTGGCGTATGTGAATGATATGTGTATGTGGTCAACCCTCCCATTAACCAGATAGAGGAGGGGACACTTAAACGTTCTGATGACTTCAATCACCTTCTAGTAAGACATTTTGTGTCTGCCAGGACCAAGCAGGGGACATGGAAGACTTTCTTCTCAGTAGAGATGAAAAGATGACGAAGCCCAGATGACTACAGTGGCAGGGCTCAGAACCCAGGGAGAAAGAGTCCAGGCCTTTGTTCTCAAAAATCTGTGAACTGCTATGGACTTGGACCTTGGGAAGAAGAGCAACCATGGAGGTAACAGGGGGAGGATAATAGCTTCTTCCCAATTCCAGGTTTGCCTTTCAATAATCCTCATGTGATGCTTCCCCTCGAAAGCAGAAGAGACTGGCAGCCCCAGGGATTGCCTGGCTTAATGAAGAAAGCTAACATTTTTTGATATTTCCAAGGCAGACACCCTCTGGTAAGGGTACTGGGCAGCACAGATAAGGGTCCATCAAGGTTTTCTCTGTCTTAGGATAAGAGTGCAGTGGAAAATACTGTCAATCTGGAGTCAGAAGACCTAGGCTTAGCTCCTTGCTTTGCTACCTACTCCCTTGGGCAAATAAGTCACTCATCTTCTTTGCGAGATTGGACTAGGTGACTTTTAAGGACTTTTCCGATTCTAAATATATGATCATGTCAGACTAAGCTTCCAGTCAGTGATATGAAGGATACAAGAGGAAGGAAGATTACCTGCTAAGGCATAGAATGTTACTACCCAAATTTCTTGGTAACTGTCTAGTACTTCCCTTACATGTGTCCAAAATGCACAAAAGAATTTAATCAGGAGAGATAAAGGGCTCTAGTGGATTCTGCTGAGACCGAACCTAAAAGAAAACTTCTGAAGTAGTAGAATTCAGGAGTGGTATTTCTCTTTTACAATAACAAAGGGAAATGCGTTAACTGTTTCCCAGGAAAGCCTCAAGCAAGCTTCTAAAGAAGTCCTGGAGATGGAGTAAAGAAGATAAGAGGGCAGGGCCCTATGAGATTTCTCATGGGGTAGGGCCCTGGTCTCAGGGTAAATATCGTCCCTGTTTCTTACAGGTCATAATGGATACCCTCTATCTGGGACATTTCTAAAAGCCCAGTATCTCTGATACTGGGTAGGAAGAGTATTGGATCTAAAACCAAGGACTAGATTTGAATTCTGGCTCTGCTACTTGCATGACTTTGGACAAGTTATTTAACATTCCCTCAAGCTCATTTTCCTTCTCAATATAACGAAGGTGTTAGACCAGATGCTATCAAGGGGCCTTCCAGTGGTATGTCCTACAATGAGATTTCTGCTAAAGCCCCAGGAGTCAGACCACCTCTGGCACTCAAAATTTAGGCCTTTGGAGGCCCTAATACCTACAGACAGGATCTTACTCCAAATTCAAACATTACCTTGAGAATTCAAACTTTTTGTCTCTCAAATGCTCCCAGGATACTAGATTATAAAGATCTCCTTAGGAGAGAATGTCTGTACCTGCGTTCCTGGTAAAAACAGCCCATGTGAACTCTGTGATGTGAGGAATGTAGCAGGCATCCTTTGGGGAAGCATTATTGAGAAGGTTCTGATGCCACAGGCATCTGAAAGGTGCTTACATGCTGGAATTCCCAGCTCAACAGCCCCACTTCTACGCTACAGATGACAGCCGAGATACTCCCCAGCTGTGTGCAGAGGCAACAACAGTGGGTTTCTGTACCAGTCCTACTGAGCAGCCCCCTTTGTTCAGCGCTTAGACTCCAGAGCAATGAATGCCTCTTCATGCTCCACGTCCTAAATCAAAAAGCACCACCCTCTCGACCACTGTAGGTTTACAACTACAGCTTTCAGTCTTTACAAGGCAGCCTTAGAGGCAAGGTTCTTCCTAATAGGGCAGTGTGACACGACAAGGTCAATGCCACTGAAGGGCTCTGCCATGTTGAGTTCATTTCTTCCCATACCTGGCAACCCACTTGATTTCCTTTCAGATGATAGTCCTCCCTAGAATAAAAAGTCTACTAAGTTCTTAAGGATTCAGATACTTTTCTAGTTAGACGCTAGCATCTTCCCTCTTTCCCCAGAAACTCATAAAATGGAAAACAATATATCTGAAACTCTAAGTAGCCAGGAGTTATTCACTACCCTTGGCTGTGCTACACTGAAGCTGCCACTTGGAACCCATTTCATGAGAAACACTGCCCTTGTCTATTGCTCCAGGAGGCAGTTTAAAGAAGAGTGTGAGCCCAAGTTCTCTCCTCCCCATCATCTCAACCCCATCACCATTTTCTCATACCTCTAAAACCAAAGAGGTATCTCCTTCTAGTCTAGGTCTGAATAGATAGGTAGCTCTTCCCCAAAGGCATTCTCTCAATGCCATGTTCCCTTTACCTCCAAATTCCAACATCCCAGACACCCAGCAGGGAGGAGGGTTGAACACAAGATGATAGATACATGTAGTAATACAAACTGCTCTTGTCCCCACAGAGCTCAGCATATTTTTTCAAAGGTTCTGAACTTCTGCTCCTGAAAGGCAGGAATCAACCCTTGTAATGGGCTTTGTGGTCTCCCACCAGGGCAGAAAAGTCATCCCTACGAGGTGAAGTGGCTGTTCCATCACCAAAATGTTCCAAGGGACCAGTTTAATCAATGTGAACCTTTAGAGCTATGTTAAAGATGTGGTACCCAAAGTTTATCTGATAAAAGCCTAATTTCTCAAATATATAAGGAAATGAGGCAAATTTATAAAAATAAGAGCCATTCCCCAATTGATAAAAGGTCAAAGGATATGAACAAGCAGTTTCCAGAAGAAGAAATCAAAGCTATTAATAGTTGTATGAAAAAATGCTCTAAATCACTACTGATTAGAGAAATGCAAATTAAAACAACTCTAAGGTATCACCCTCATACTTATCAGATTGGCTAATGTGATAGAAAAAGAAAATGATGAATGCTGAAGGGGCTATGGAAAAATAGGGACACTGATGCACTGTTTGTGGAGTTGTGAACTGGTTCAGCCATTCTGTAAAACAACTTGGAATGATACTCAAACGCCTATAAAAGTGTGCACACCCTTTGACCCAGAAATACCACTGATAGATCTGTAACCCAAAGACGTGAAAAGAACAAAAAAAGGAAAAGGACCTATATGCACAAAAATATTTATAGCAGCACTTTTTGTGGTGACAAAGAATTAGAAATTGAGGGAATGCCCATCAACTGGAGAATGGCTAAACAAGTTGTGGCATATAATTGTGATGGAATACTACTGTGCTATAAGAAATAAAGAGCAGGATGGTGTCAGAAAAACCTGGAAAGATTTATATGAACTGATGTAAAGTGAAATGAGCAGAACCAGGAGAACACTGTACATAGTAACAGCAATACTGTACAATAATCAACTGTGAAAGACTTAGTTACTCTGATCAATACAATGATCCATGATACTTTCAAAGGTCTCATGATGAAAAATGCTATCCGCCTCCAGAGAGAGAAATGATGAACTCTGAGTGTAGAATAAGCACACTTTTTTCAATTTCTTTTTCTTACCTTTCTTTGGGGGTGGGGGGTGGGGATGGGGTGGGGGTACAATATGTCTAATATGGAATTGTGCTTTACATGACTTCACATAGAAAACGGATGTATTATATCGCCTGCTCTCTTTCTCTCAACAGGTGAGGGAGGAGCTGGAGGGAGGAAGAGAATTTGGAACTCAAAATTTGGAAAAATGAAAATTACAAACACACAACTAAAAGGGAGAAGAGATGTTGTGCCTAACACATTATTCCCATGCTATCCCAGCAAGAAGCTCTGTACTTTGCCACCATTCAGGTGGGGTGTGACGTCTCAGTTAGTCCAAGTCTGAGGCCAGGAACAGCTGCCCTTACCCAATTCACTTACCTAAGTCCCTCATTCACTTACCTAAGCTGTGTCCATTCTTTGTATAGAAGCAAGTGTTGTTGATGAGGTTGACGCAGCAGCCAATCACATCTCCAGTAGTAAAGGTGGGGCCATAAGGTTGCCCAGTTCCAGAAGAACAGAATGAATGTCCATCGTCACCATGATAACCATAGGAATGCTTGTCCCAACCTGTGGGAGCAGAAAATAATATCAACTGAATAAAGAGAACAAGGAAGGAGAAGTGGGGTCCAAGATGCATCGGAGGAAAGCTACAGAGAAATAAATCACAAAAGGGGCTTGGGCTTCCTTCTCTTTCCAAACTTACCACTCTGCGTACCTCATCACAGGGCTCTGTGGTTCACTTCATTACCTCAAAAGGATTTTAAAGAACACCTACTAGGTAGAGTGCTATGCTACACACTGGGAGTGGAATCAGGGAGATACAAATGAAGCCTAGTTTATGTCCTCCAAAAAGTTCTGCCCAACTGACAACATCACACACACACACACACACACACACACACACACACACACACACAAATAGTTAAGCAACAACACATGGCAGGATGTGATTAAATGACAAAGTGAGTGATACTGGAACTCAGAGAAGGGGAGACCAATGTGAGCTGGAATAACTGGGGAAGACTTAACAGACATGGTACTGGAGCTCAATCTTGAAGAATAAGGAGGAGAAAAGAAGTAAATTATACATAAAGAAAATCATATGAGCAAAGAAATAGGTATAGAAATAAGAAAAGGGGAAAATGACTAGATCAATCAGACTATAGTAGAAGAGATGACCGGATTAAAAAAAAATACAACAAAACAAAAAACCACCACCACCACAACAAAACAAATGCCAGAGCCAGTCTATTCCAGGCCTTGAATGCCAGGCAAAGGTTTTGGTTTGTCAGTACTGAGCCAGAAACAGGACTATAAGATTTAGAGACAGAATGAGCTCTATAGATCATTTAGTATTACTTCATTTTAAAGATAAGGAACCTGAGGTTCACAGAAGTTACTCGACTTTCCCAATATCCCCAAGGTGACATTGCCACTGAGTGATTATGGTGGGATTCTAGCTATGCTCTTCTGACGCTCAATCCTGTGTCCTTTCTACTAAACTACCACTTCGCTGGCACTCCTACAACACCATCATCAGCTAGAGATAAGCCATAGGCTCTGCTCACGGCAGCACAGCTCCACCGGCAAGAGGTATCTGTTGAGTGCATGTCAGGCACAATGCGAGGTTCTAGGCAGAGAGAGAAATTACAGTCTCTGCTCCCTATCTAGTTGGGAGCTATCTCAAAAAAAAAAAAAAAGGCTGTATATGTTAAGTGCCAAATGAAAGACACATATAAAGGTTGTGCAAAGAAATTAATGCAGATTAAATTGACTAGATAAGAGGTAGAACGAGCAGGGTCTTGAAGAATAAGTAGAAAATAAATAAGCAAAGAGGGCAGCTAGGTGGTGCAGTGGAGAGAACGCTAGGCCTGGAGTCAGGAAGACTATCTTCCCAAGTTCAAATCTGGCCTCAGACACTTATTCTGAGCAAGTCACTTAATTAACCCTGTTTGCCTCAGTTTCCTCATCTGTAAAATGAGCTATAAAAGGAAATGACAAAATCTTCCAGTATCTTTCCCAAGAAAATCCCAAATGAGGTCATGAAGAGTTAGGCACCACTAAAACGACTGAACAACAACAAAAAACAATAAATTAGCAAAGACGGGGCAATGATGAGAGGCAGGGAAGAGAGCACAGAAATGGAAACTTGAAGAGACTAGTTTTCCTAGAGTTGAGTTTCTTGGGGAGACAAAGGACATAAGGTTATAACAATTGGATGAAGGACCTCCAACGCCACGGTGTTGTTCTATGGGCAAAGAAAACCACTCTAAGTGTTCTGAGTCAACGAGGCAGTGAGTACTATGTGACAAAGCAATGTTTTTGGTTGATACCTCAGTACTATATTAGGGATTAGAGGGCATGGGTTCAAATTCCGACTTTGTTACACACTAACTAGGTAACCCTGCACAAGTCACTTAGTCTAGCTCAGTCACAGTTCTCTCATCTGTAAAATCAAAGTGTAAAAGTGTTAAATCAAATCTCTGAGGTTCCATCCAATTCTAAATCAATGATGTTGTACACAAGCTCTCCATATAGAAAAGCTTCTACTTCCTCCAAAGCAGTGTTTTCTGGAAGGATCAAATTCCTGCTTCCACATCTCATGTCATTTATTTGTATTAGGGTCCAGACCAAGGAAGGAAGAAGTACATAAGCCCCCTGACTAGAATTCAAGTAATGCTAACTAGGGGAAGAACACTCCAGGGAATAAGATACTAGATGCCAAGTAAGGCAAATTAACAGTTTCTATAATTAATTCCATGTGAAATGAAATACAAAATGTAGCTACTTTTTTTTTTAATTTTACAGAGAATCTTCACCATCTGTTTATGGTCAAATGGCCTTCACCCAGACCCAGGCTCTTCCTTAGTCTGGGTTTATGAAAACAGAAGTTTTAGTTATGTAAAATGCTGGAAGTGGAAGAGAACTTAAAGATCATCTAGTATTCCCTATGTGGCCTCTGAAAAGTCACTTCCCACTTGTTTGTACTGGTACAGAGTGAAATAAGCCAAACCGAGAAAACAATTTACACAATGATCTCAAAATGTAAGGGAAAACAATCCTGAAGGCATCTTGACTCCAGCTGATTGAAAGTGAAATACACTTTCCTGCTCTTGGCTGGCATGTTGAACTCCAGGTGTGGAATGAGGCCTGCAGGGCTAGCTGTGGCCAGGGGGCTGGTTTGTTCTGCTTAGCTACGGTTTTTTGTTACAAAGGAAAGGGGGTGGGGGGTGGGGGGGGCGAGATGGAATTTAAGAGCCCACTATGTGCCAAGCACTGAGGATAAAAAAGAAAAGCCAAAGACAGTCAGTCTCCGATCTTGGGCTCACAGTCTGATGGAGGACACAACATGCCAACCACCACGGACTAGTCAGAGCTGAAGAACTTGGGTTCCAATTCCAGCTTTCCTACTTCCTGTCTGTGTGGCCTGGGCAAAGTCGCTGAGCCTCTAAGTAGAGTACTGAATTAGATGTCCTCTACGGTCCTGGCCAGTTCCAGATCTATGAGCTAATGAAGACAGTCAGTTATGAAAGGCTATAAAGAGAAAAAGTCACCCAGGATAAGAAAGAACTCATTTCTTCCACATCTTACTCTGTTAATCTAGCTGATAAATATAAAAAGGAGTAGGATTAGTTATAGTTACCTCTTTAAGAATGCAAGCATTCAGATCAGTTTTCAGGAAGGTTGAAAACAAGAGGCAGACAAGACAGATCAAACTTGGAGGTGAATTTGTAAACTAGGAGGGGAAGAAAAAGCTAGAACTCAATTTCCTTCAGAGGACACAAAAAGTCAAAATTTCAGCAAAGAGATTGCCACCCCAAGATTCCTGAGTTTAAGTCTGGGGCCAGTCTTGGCACACAAGCCAATGACCTCTGGACCTTTTCTTTTATAAAGGAGAAACTGATGTCCTGTCACTTCAATGTTCTTTCCTTTGCCTTGTCCTAGCAGAGCTGATCCTTTACTCTTTACTCTTCTCCTCCCTGCTCAAACCTGTCCCACCGTGCTTTTCAGGGCTAAAACTAAGGAGTTGGACTAGATGACTTCTAGGCTCTTTATAGCCCTAAATACAGTGATCCTAATAATCAACCAAAAAGAATGTATTACATACCTAAATCCTAGCATTGGAGAGATAAAGACAGAAACACAGGACAATCTCTGTTCTTAAGAAACTTCCTATCAAGTGACCACAAATACATACATACATAGAGAATAAACACAAAATAAATCTAAATCATTTTAGAGGAAGAAGGCACTGGCAGTGTTGATAGAATCAAAAAAGTCTTCATGTAGAAGAGTCTGGAAGGCAGAAAGGGATTCTACAAGGCAGAGGGAGGCAGAGAGTGCATTCCAGTCGTGGGAAGGGCGTCAGAAGCACAGAGACAAGAGAAGCAACATTATGTGTGAGGAACAACAGAAGCCAATCTGACTACCAGACTATCCGAAGCAGGAAGGAGAAGATTGTATAACGAGGCTAGAAAGGCAGAGTGGAGCCCAATTTGAAGGGTGCTAAACTGAATTTATATTTCATCCTCAAGGCAACAAGGAGCCACTGGAGTTTATTGGTTGAGAAATAATATGGTCACTTTGGCAGCTGTGTACAGAATGGACTGGAGGGGGGAAGAGAATGGAGGCAGGAAGGCCAATTATTCAGCTACTGCAATGGTCCAGATGAGAAGTGATGAGGGCCTTAACTCCAGTGGTAACTGCACAGAATGGTGAAAAGGGAACAAATGAGAGACATCATAGTGGTAGAAACGCAGCAAGATAGGGAGCCAAATCAGTAAACCTGCAAATGGAAAGATGGCAGCAAGGAAGACTAGGAAAGGGGCTGGGCTGAGGGGGGCATATGCTCTGTTTTAGGCATGAATACGTGAAGGACAAAAACACTTAAGTGGATACTATGGGCTGAACATCGTTAAGCACCGACAATACAGAGAAAAGCAGGAAAGTCCCCACACCTGTTTTTAAGGGGCTAAAAGACAAGGGCAGGGTTCAGCAACCTCAGGTGTGCTAAAGATGATTAAAAAAATGACAACTATGAAGAATACAAAGAAATATTTAAAGTCCAATGCAAGATGATTCAAAGCAAGGTCAACTAAACGATCCAAGCATATACGCTGACTACAATCCTATTTTTTAAAAATATAGCAACAAAAGCAACAGATCTTTATAAGTACACAGAAAGATTTGTAAGGGAACATGGAGAAAAATACTGTTACTGCTCTAATGCTGTGAAAATGTACATTATTTCAACAAGCATATGGGTGCCTACTATGTGTAAGGCACCTCATAAGATTCTCAGCTCTCAAGTTTTCCTTCTACTACAGGGGAGAGATGTACAATTTGTTATCTTAAAAGGTACAAGAAGAACAGCTGACATTGAAGTAGTGTAAGTGTTTTAAATACATAATCACTTCAGCCTCAACCTAACTCTGTAAAACAGCTACCACAAACCCCATTTTAAAGATAAAGTAACTGAGGCTCAGACAGGTTAAGTGAAACCATGTTCACACAGCTAAAGTCAGAAGCAGGATCTGAACCCAGGTCTTCCTGACTCCCAAGTACAG